TGCAATTTTCTTTGCATGACACACAGGATGGAGAACCTAATTTTGTTCAACTTCATCTCAGTGAAGGAAAAAATATATATTTTTTTAAATTAAATAACCATGCAGCAAGAAGCACTGAATTCCAAGATAAGAGAATGGGCTAAGATGTGTTGTGATGAGTCACCAAGCTGACAGTGAAGGAGCTGATATTTAGCATAAAGCACTCTATTATAGTTAAAGATAAGGTATAAAATGTAGATTCTGCTTGGTAGAAAAGTGACTAATACAGCAGGGAAGTCTTTAGACCAGCCGTTTCTGTAATGAATGGCTACCTACAATAGTGTTTCTTGTCTCTTCTGCTCAGAAACATCATTAAAACCTGATCAAGGCCAGTGATATCAAAGCTTAAAGCCACACAGATGATTTCTTTTCAACTAAAAAGAAACTCTTCAAAATTGTGTTGCTCAGTTGGTTATTTTTTTAAAACCTCATAAAAATAAAAATGCTCTAGCTAATCAAGTTGAAGACAATTTTATTCCCTAATTTTTCTTTATAAAAGATTAATTTCTGAAGAAATTACCTGAGGTAATGATTAAAGTTTAGATCTCGGCGTCAAAGAAGTACTGGGTTCTTAACCCTTTCAGAAATATACTAGCTGTATTACCTTCAGAAGAACCCTTAATTGAGGGGCGGAGCCAAAATGGCAGAGTGAAAGCAGTGACTTGCTTGAGCTGTCCCCCAAACCCCTCCAAATACCCATAAAAATGGCTCTAAACAAATTCTAATGCAGCAGAACCCACAAAAAGACAGAGTAAGACAAATTTCCAGCCCAAGACAGCCTGGATGGTTGATCGGAAAGGCATATCATGAAAGGCAGGTAGAGGAGCACAGTTCAGCGTGGGCGCTCAGGCCGCAGTGAAGCTAGAGGAGGCCTCAGAGAACTGAATCACAGGCAGTTGTGGCAGCTTCCAGACTCCTCAATCCACAAACACCAAAGACAGCTTAGAAGGGAAAAGTCTGTTTTTGCGGTGAGAGAAGAGCTAGGTCAGAGCCAGTTCCAAAGCGCAGAACGCGGGTGCCTGGGCAGTAGCTGTGTCCTGAGCTTCTGGACCATAGACTGAGGGGGAATCAAGTGGCTGATCAGAGGGGGACTGCAGGGATCTCTTTGCTGGTGCTGAGGCAAAAATCTCTTGCTTTGCCTGTGCTTGGATCTGGGTCACAGTTCTGGGTGGCGGTCCTGGGGTGAGGAGGAGCGCTGGCATGGTGGAGCTTGTAGTGGCAGTGGAAAGGAAACCCTCCTCACAGTTCCAAGAGGGAAAAGACTGCTTGTGGCCAGTCACTCAAAGACCAGAGCTCAGGCCAGGAAAAGAGTAAACACCTCGACCCTTATCATACCATCTTGGAAGAACTGAAAATTTATAAGTATCTCTGAAAACAGCTATACAAACCCCCTAAGCTTAGAACAGCACATTCTCCACGTTTACCTTAACAAAGAATTTAAAACTCAAGTAGTTGGCTGGGATCATGAGCAAACCTTGAAAAAAAGAGTCAGATTGTATTATCTTACTTTGGTGAAAAAGAAGATCAAAACATGCAACCAGAAGAAGACAACAAAGTCAAAGCTCCTACATCCAAAGCCTCCAAGAAAAATATGAATCCATCCCAGGCCTTGGAAGGGCTCAAAAGGGATTTTGAGAAGCAAGTAAGAGAAGTAGAGGAAAAATTGGGAAGAGAAATGAAAGTGATGCAAGAAAATCATGAAAAACAAGTCAACAGCTTGCTAAAGGAGACCCAAAAAAATACTGAAGAAATTAACACCTTAAAAAATAGCCTAACCCAAATGGCAAAAGAGGTCCAAAAAGCCAATGAGGAGAAAAATGCCCTAAAAAGAAAAATTGGCCAAATGGAAAAGGAAGTCCAAAAGATTACTGAAGAAAATACTTCCTTAAAAATTAGAATAGAGCAATTGGAAGCTAGTGACTTTATGAGAAATCAAAGCACTGTAAAACTAATCCAAAAGAATGAAAAGATAGAAGAGAATGTGAAATATCTCACTGGAAAAACAACTGACCTGGAAAATAGATCCAGGAGAGAGAATTTAAAAATTATTGGACTATCTGAAAGCCATGATCAAAAAAAGAGCCTAGACATCATCTTTCAAGAAATTATCGAGGAAAACTTCCCTGATATTTAGAATCAGAGGGCAAAATAGAAATTGAAAAGAATCTACTGATCTCCCTCTGAAAGAGATTCCCAAAGGAAAACTCCTAGGAATATTGTAGCCAAATTCCAGAGTTCCCAGGTCAGGGAGAAAATATTGCAAGCAGCCAGAAAGAAACAATTCAAGTACTGTGGAAACACAAGCAGGATAACACAAAATTTAGCAGCTTCTACATTAAAAGGACCAGAGGGCATGGAATATAATATGCTGGAGGGCAAAGGAGATAGGATTACAACCAAGAATCACCTACCCAGCAAAAGTGAGTATAATCTTTCAGGGGAAAAAATGGTCTTTCAGTGAAATAGAGGACTTTCAAGCATTCTTGATGAAAAGACCAGAGCTGAATAGAAAATTTGACTTTCAAATGCAAGACTCAAGTGGACCATGAAGAGGTAAACAGGAAAGAGAAATCATAAGAGACTTATTACGGCTGAACTGTTTGCATTCCTACATGGAAAGATGATATTTATAACTCATGAGACCTTTGTCAGTATTAGGGTAGTTAGAGGGGGGAAAATTATATGTATGTAGATAGATAGATAGATAGATAGATAGATAGATAGATAGATAGATAGATGATAGATAGATAGATAGATAGATAGATAGATAGATAGATAGATAGACAGGTAAATGATAGATAGATGGCACAGGATGAGTTGAAGATGAAGGGGTGATATCTGGAGAATAAAATTAAGGGGTGAGAAAGGATTATACTAGGAGAAGGAGAAAGGGAGAGGTAGAATGGGGTACATTATCTTGCACAAAACAGACAAGAAAAGGTTCTTACAGTGGAGGGGAAACAGGAGAAGGTGAGAAGACATGAGGGAATCTTATTCTCACAGAATTTGGCTTAAGGAGGGAATAACACACACACTCAATTGGGTATGGAAATCTGTCTTACCCTACAGGAAAATAGGGGAGGAAGGGGACAAGAGAGCAGGGGAATGATAGAGAGAAGGGAAGATTGGGAAAGGGGTAATCAGAAGGAAGTACTTCTGAGGAGGAACAGGGTCAAAAGAAAGAATAGAATAAATGGGGGGGAAGGATAGGATTAAGGGAAATAGAGTTAGTTTTTCACAACATGTCTACTATGGAAGTGTTTTGCATAACTGCATATGTATGGCCTGTATTGACTTGCTTGCCTTTTCAATGAGGGTGGGTGGGGTGAGAGGAAGGGAGAAAATTTGGAACCCAAAGTTTTAAAAACACATGTTTAAAAAAAAGTGTTTCCACATGCAACTGAGAAATAAGAAATACAGGAAATGAGGTACAGAAATCTATCCTGCCCCACAGGAAAATAGAAGGGGAAGGGATAAGAGAAGAGTGGGGGAGAGATAGAAGGGAGGGCAGACTAGGGGAAGGGGTATTCAGAATGCATTCCATCTTGGGGTGTGGGAGGGGCAAGATGGGGTGAAAATATGGAATTCAAAATCTTGTGGAAGTAAACGTTGAAAACTAAAAATAAATAAATTTATATAGAAAAAAAAGAAGCCTTTTCTGCATCTATTGATATAAAAAAAAAAAGAAGACGAACCCTTAATCTCTATATGCTTCAGGCATTTCAACAGGATTTATCTACTAAGTCATGAACAGGTTGGAATGGAGTAAATTCAAATACCTAGGAAATCACAGGGTCTTTTCCTATTCTAAGTAGTTAGGTGGTGCAGAGAATAAGCATTGAACATGGAGTCAGGGAGATTCCAATTCAAATACTGCCTCAGACACTTTCCAGTGGTGGGACACCAGTCAGTAACTTCCCTCAGCTTCGGTTTCAACATCTCTACAATAGGGATAATTAATAGCCTCTACCTTGCAGAGTTGTGATGAAAATCAAATGAGGTAGCAAAAGTAAATCACTTTGCAAACTTTAAAGTGCCATATAAATAATAGCTGTTATAATTTTTACGTTGGCTTTCCAGTCTAGCTAATCCAAATATTTGCTTCATGGATTCACTATTTTTGTCATACAGTCAGTTCAGTACAATTTTTTTTTCAATATTACCCTACCACTGAAGGTTTTTAGAGGGTTCCTGACAATTAGAAGAAAAATCCTAGGGGAAGAATTCTTACCAAAATTTGGTGATCCACTGCAGTGAGATTCAGTTAATGTCATTTAATCTTTCCAGGCAATCTCTGAAATATTTCGATTAGATGACAAGCCATGCATGAGCTTCAGCTGCCTTGTTTTATCTATAACTTTATTTTATGTAAAGATATATAAATTTCAAATGTTATATAAGAAAATCATAATTATTAGTCTATGTTTATGAAATAGAATTTTTATACACGCACAAACATACGTTAGAGCAAATCATTAATTCTTTCTAGGCTGCAATTTCTTTATCTGTAAATGAAAGCATTAGGCCAGATTATCTCTAAGATCCCCCTAGCTCTAAGATTCTTCAGTCTATCAACCTATGAAAATGTTATTATAATAATAATAACTAGCATTTATATAGTGCTTTAAGGTTTGTAAAGCACTTTATAAGTTTTTTCTCCTTTGATCCTCACAACAATCCTGGGAGATAAGTACTATTATTATTCCCATTTTAAAGATGAGGAAGCTGAGGCAGACAGAGGTTAAGTGACTTGGCCAGCTCATGTAGTAAGAAAGCAAGGCCCAATTCAAATTTAGGTCTTCTTGATTTGAAAACCACTGATCCACTAAACCGCCTAGCTGCCTTACAACCAAGAATAATGCAAGATATACTCTTCGCACTTACATGAAACTAGATTTTTTTTGTTAAATTACTTTTGGTTATTTCACTGAATCTATGACCATTCTTCCTTCATCTTCCAGATACACCAAGATGAAGACAGCCACCAACATCTACATTTTCAATCTAGCCCTGGCAGATGCTCTAGCAACTAGCACACTGCCCTTCCAAAGTGTCAACTACTTGATGGGCACCTGGCCCTTTGGCACAATCCTCTGCAAGATTGTAATCTCCATAGACTACTATAACATGTTCACCAGCATCTTTACTCTCTGCACCATGAGCGTCGATCGCTACATTGCCGTCTGTCATCCGGTCAAGGCCCTGGATTTCCGTACTCCCCGAAATGCCAAAATTGTCAATGTCTGCAACTGGATACTTTCTTCAGCCATAGGTCTGCCAGTCATGTTCATGGCAACCACAAAATACAGGCAAGGTTAGTAATGGTTTGGAGGGTGGAGGTGCAGTATGTAATGTGGGCAGAGTTGACTAAAGCAGAATTTGGAGGTGGCAATATGCTTTGATACATGTTTGATTATGTGTACTTATTCTAATTCTCTGACAAGCAAGATGATGTAGAAGAGAGAAGGCCAACCCTGAATTTAGGAAGACTTAGATTTAACTCCTGCCTGTGACATAGGCTAACTTTGTGACCATAAGGAAGTCACTTAATTTTTCAGTGTAGATTAATAACCAGCTTGTACTGGCAGAAGAAATGTTCACATCTTGTTTTTTTCCTATGCCTATAAAATCAAAGATTCAGCCCAAAGACAGTAGTCAAGGGAAATTCAATATTTGAGTAAAACTGTAACTTAGTTTATAATGGGTCTTCCCTTCTCTAGGTTACACCTGATCCATGTTCATCAATCCTGAATAATTATTGTCCATGTCCTCCTATAAACCCACTATAGGGGATCCAACCAATGAGCTGGTGGCATTCTCATTTTTGTGCTGTCATATGGATGGCAATGAAGCACATGGGCCATCAGAGTGAGATGTTATAGAAATTGATTTACTTCTTAGTTGACAAGAGTCTCAAAAGGATTTGGGACAAAAGATTTTCTTTAATTTTTTTAAATCATTGGCATATGAAAAGGTAAATATGCTTTCTTCTTTCCTGAGGATAAATATGAAATAAACAAGAGAGGGAAAACACTAGAGATAATGGAAAATGTTTTTAGAGGAGAGTAAGAGAGGATGGAAAAATGTTTTAAGAGGATATTTAGAGGGGATGGAAAAGGCTTCATGTAGATGATGGGATTTAAGCACCCCTTAAAGGAAGCCAGGTAAACCAATAGGTAGAGATGAAGAGGAAAAAATTCCAGGCATAGGAACAGCCAGAGAAAATGCCCAGAGACAAAAGATGGAGTGTCTTGTTCATGGAACCACAAGGAGGCTAGTGACACTAGATCAAAAAATACATTGAAGACAGTAAGGTACAAGCAGATTGGAAAGGTAGGAAGGGTCTAGGTTAAGAAGAGCTTTAAATACCAAATAGAGAAATTCATATTTGATCCTGGAGATAATGGGGAGCTACTAGAATTTATTGAATGGGCAGGTGATATGGTTAGAACTGTGCTTTAGGAAAATCACTCTGGTGGTTGAATGGAAGGTAGACTAAAGTGGGGAGAAATGAGCAGGCAGCCCCACTAGCAAGTTGTTGCAAAAATCCATGCATCAGATGATAGAGGGCCTGGACCAGAGTGGTGAAAATGTAAGAGGAAAGAAGGTAATGAATTTGACAGATGATGCAAAAGTGAATCCACAGATTTTAACAAAAGGTTGGCTATGGGGTGGGGGGAGAGGGAGATGTAGAAGACAGGAGTTGAGGATGACCCCTAAGAGACTGGGAGGGTACTGTTGCCCTCTACAGTAATAGAAAGTTGGGGGATAGGATTTAGGGATAAAGATAATGGGTTCAATTTTGGGCATGTTGAAATTAAAATGTCTGCTTGACATCCTGTTTGAGATTTCTGAAAGGTAGTTGGAGGTACAAGGCTGAATGTCAGCGGAATGATCGGGGCAGTATAGGCAGCTTTGAGAACTGTCAGAAGCTGTCAAGAGCACCAAGTGAAGTAGTATAAAGTGAGAAGGGGAAGAAGACCAAGGACAGAGCTCTATGAGATACCTACAGTTAGAGGATGTGACTTAGATAAGAATCTACCAAAGGAGACTTAGAAGGAGTCATCAGACAGGTAAGAAGAGAGCCAGGAGAGAGTGGTGTCTCAAAAATCTAGAAAAAAAGAGAATATCAAGGAGGAAAAGATTATCAATAGTACCAAAGGCTACGGAAAAGTTTTTTTTAAATGAACATTTAGAAAAGGTCTCCAGAAAAAAAAATTGTTAGTAATTTTGGAGAAAGCAGCTTTGATGGAATAAGAAAATTAGAAGCCAGGTCATAAGGGGTCAAGAAGAGAGTGAGAGGAGAGAAAGTGGAGGCACCCATCATAGATAGCTTTTTCAAGAAGTTTAGCCACAAAGGGTAGAAGAGATATAGGATGATAGTAAGCAGGTTGAAAGGATCAAGGGAGGATTACTTGTCTATCATAGGATGGAAGAGATATGGGCATGTTCATAGACAAGAGGGAATGAGCCAGTAAACAGGGAAAGATTGAAAATAAGTGATAGAGTGAGGATGACAGAGGAGGAAATCTGTTGGAGCATACAAGATGGAATAGGATCTATTGAGCAGGGAGAGGGGTTAGCCTTGGTAAGGAGTAAGGCCACTCAGCATGTGAGACAGGAAAGGGTAAAGGAGGAAATAATGGCAGAAGACATATGGGTGATAAGAAATGGTAGACAGAAGATAAAAAGGAGCTCATGGTAAATGGTCTCAAGTTTTTCTGTAAAATATGAGGCAAGCTTCTCAGCCGCGAATGTGGGGGAGGAAGAAGGGAGCCAAGGGAGGGAGAAAGGATGGAAAGGTTTGGAAGAGCTGTTGTGGAAAGTGGGATAGTAAGATAATGAGTTATAAGGCAGTTTTGGCAGCAGTGAGAGCTCAGTTGAGGTCATGTAACATAAATTTGTAGTGTATCCAGTCAGAACAGTTACATAATTTTCTCCCCTTTCATTCAGTAATGCATATAAGGGCAAAGATGGTAAATGGTGGAGGTAATCCAAGGCTGAGGCATGGTAGGGCATAATCAGTGAAATGATAGGGGGAATAAGGGTTCAAGAAAGAAGGATAAGACAGAGTTGAATTGTTTCACCAGTAGGTCAAGATGGGGAAAATAAAAGAGAGTGGCTAGTGTACAGAAGATAGCCTGGAAGAGAATTGAGCATTAAGAGATTGGTGGTCATGGTGCAGACAGGGAAGAGGTGAAAAGCTATAAGATTATGGTCAGATAAGGGTATTTCAGAATTCTTGCTTGTTAAGGTGGTACTTTGTGGGTGATATCAAAATTAATGGTATGACCATCTTTGTGTGTGGCAAAGGTAGGTCATGAGAAATGAATAGGTTGAGGAATTAAGTGATTAGGGTGTTTGAGAGAGGGTGAATATGTATGTTGAAATTCCCTGGCGTGAGGCAAGAGTTGGGAAGCAGAGAGACATTGTGAGCTAAGAAAGGAAAAAGAAGAGGAGTGGCCTGGAAGTATGTAGACAACAGGTACCAGGATTTTGATCGATTTTGATTGCCAAGAGAAAACAAGAAAGCTCCTATGATGTTGGCTAGAACCAGAGATGCTGACAAATGTTTAACAACTGGCTCTCAGTGGGGGGACATATTCCACACTTCCAAGTTTAATTTGTATTATTAACATTTTTTTCATCACTTTCTTGAGTCTAAAACAATTAATCAAGCCCTGATTTGTAGTGTCCCACTATTTCCAAAGTGCAAATGCTCACATTGAAATTTTACCAATCATTTCGTGAGAGTGGCAGAAACTAGCTCCAGTACACCACTGGCTGGAACCCCTGTGCCAAAATTATGGAAAGACACAGACAAGACTTACACAGGATTGAGAGGCATGGATGGGTTGGAAGCTGAATCACTGGAGGGAATAGCTACATCACTGAGATCACAGATCCTTTGAATATCTAAGAAAACCATGACATAGACAATTCAAACCAAAACATCTCTTCTGCAAAATAAGCAAGCTACCTCATTATAATACGTAGGCATAGCCTTAGTTTTTGTTCAAGGGTCCTTAGCAATAAACAGCTGTGGCAATGATTAAAACCAACAAAGAAATTCAGCAATGCTATTGTGTATTCTTCTTTATAATTCTTGTGTTCTAGGTTCCATTGATTGCACACTCACATTTTCCCATCCAACTTGGTACTGGGAAAACCTGCTGAAGATCTGTGTTTTCATCTTCGCCTTCATTATGCCCGTCCTCATCATTACTGTGTGTTATGGCTTGATGATCTTACGCCTCAAGAGTGTCCGCATGCTGTCTGGCTCCAAAGAGAAGGACAGAAACCTAAGAAGAATCACCAGAATGGTGTTGGTGGTAGTGGCTGTGTTCATAGTCTGCTGGACCCCCATTCACATCTATGTCATCATCAAAGCCTTGGTCACCATCCCTGAAACTACTTTCCAGACTGTGTCCTGGCACTTCTGCATTGCTCTAGGGTATACAAACAGCTGCCTTAATCCAGTCCTTTATGCATTCCTGGATGAAAACTTCAAGAGATGCTTCAGAGAGTTCTGCATTCCTACTTCCTCCACCATTGAGCAACAAAATTCAACTCGAATTCGCCAAAACACTCGGGACCACCCTTCCACTGCCAACACTGTGGATAGGACTAACCATCAGGTATGACTAGTGGTTGAGATGTCATCTCCAGAATCACTCATTTGCACTGAGAGTTACTTGAATTTGGAAGTTTCATAATTTACTACTAAGTTCCAATTGTGAAATTTCAGATAGGGGTCTGAAGTGTGTGTGTGTGTGTGTGTGTGTGTGTGTGTGTGTGTGTGCGTTGGGGTAAGGTAGTTTATCTTTCCAAACTTGGTAAGTCCATATATGTTCCAAGTATAAACATACTCAAACCACAAAAAAGAAAAGAAAAACCTCTTAGTAGGTGGAATAATCATTTTTTTTGCTACATCTCAGTCAGTTTCCAATGTATGCTTTTTTTTAATCTATGGCATCCTCATATCATTAGCATAGCTAAGAAAATAGTTCCAATCCAGTGCCTCTTTCCAAATCTCTAATACTAAAATGAGTCTGTATATTTGTAATATATTGGAAGAGCCCTGGACTCAAAGTTTTAAGGAAAAACAAAACACCTTGAACTGCAGCCTTGGCCTTGTTACTGACTAGGTTTAGATTAGACTATTTCACCAGTCTGAGACCCAGTTTCCTCATATATCAAAAGAGGGGGTTGGACTAGGAGACCTTTAAGCTTTCCTCCAGCTCTGAAATCTTTTGAATGTATGTCTCTTTTTCTCAGAACTTTATGAACTTTCATACATGTCTCTGACCATTGTCATTTTCATCTGAAATCATTCTGACCTCCATAGTGTCCTTGGGTCACTGTGTGCTTAAAGAGAGGAAGTATCACCTCCTCAATACTCACACCCGACCAAAATTGTTGGAGTAGAATGCTGCTACTCTCAAAGCCACCTGTGAATTAGCTACAAAGTGGTATTGATTCCACTTCATGTCAATGACATTAATCCCCTCTCAAGGAAATAGAAGAACTTTTGTTCCCAAGCAAGTCTGTAGGATAGAATGCTGACCTGGAAAAATGGATGACAAGGAAGGGGTGTAAGGGGTGTGTGTGTGTGTGTGTGTGTGTGTGTGTGTGTGTGTGTGTGTGTGAATGTTATTTGTTTCAACTCTATTTCAAAAATTAGAAGCTGGAAGGGTGGTAGAGGTGGCTTGTTTCCAGGACGTCTCCTCTTTGCCTCTTTGGTATTCTTTCACTAGCCTCTTCAATCTAGTTCCTTTTTCTTGGCTCTCTTCTTTTCCAGCTTCCACTGATCCATTCAAAGTATGTCCAGTGTTTTAGGAAAGGAAAAGAGAAAGGAAAGTTTGAATGGACCTTCCAAAACCCAGTACACCCTGGAGATTATTGACCTAGGGTATATGAACTTATTTATGTACACACACATATGCACATATACACAAATATATCACTATATGATAATGTGTAAATACAGCATATAAATAAATGTAGTTATTTATTACTTGTATATATAACTATATGTGCTATATGTATGTATATATATATATATATATCTTTAAATATAATTGGCTTCCTTTTTAATCCTATTTTTTTATTTTATACATTTAAAAACATTACTCTGAGAAGGCATCTATAGGCTTCACCAGATTGCCAAAGGAGTCCATCACACACACACACACACACACACACACACACACACACATACACACACACACACACACACGCACACACACACAATACACACAAAAGGTTAAGAAACCTTACAGCGAAGGATTATTATAGAATGTGATTTATATGATTAGGCAGTTAGGAAATGCTATGGATAAAGCCCAGCACTTGGAATCTAGACAAACCTGAGTTCAAATCTCCTCTCAGACACTTACTAGTATTGTGACCATGGGCAAGCCCCTTGATCACTACCTGACTCAGTTTCCCCGTCACTAAAATGGGGTTGATGATAACATCTGCCTCCCAGGTTTGTTGTGAGGATTATTGAAATGATATTTGTGAAGTGGTTTGCAAACCTTAAGGTGCTATATAAATGCTTGCTACTACTATTATGATGATGATCGAACCCCAAGACCCAAATTTAAACTGATTTATTTCATTCCGTTTAAGTGGCATGATGATTACGTATTGTAAGCACCAGAGTACTCCATGTTCTGGTCTTTCCTTTCCCTCCTGGTACAAGCTCTGTTTCTATGGAGAGTGGGCTTTTTGGTGGAGCATGGTACTTCATGATTAGGACCCCTTCACATCTCAATCCCAGCTCCGGATCCGATTCTGTGCTGTGGGTCAGGCGGCCTGGATACAGAAGCATTACCTTGGCTCCCGGCAGCAAACAGGCTCTCCTTATGCTGACGATGACCTTGATGTGCCTCTGAACTGAAACAGTAATACTGACATGGTCCTGGAACAGTGCAGATTAAGGGGGGAAATAAGCTAATTGGAGAAGTTTAGTTCGAGGTAACTAAAAGGTCTGCCTTAAAAAAAGAAATCCAATTACAGCTTATCTTCATCATTTTCTCTTTGGAATTACAGCAGTGTCAGATACCAGTGAAAATGCATTAGCCCAACAGTTGGCTGCCTTCCCAAACTGTCCAGCTGGGAGAGTCAGACAGGGGAGGAAGGCCACCAGGAAGCGAGAAAGGGAAATGCAGCAACATTTGCAAGTTCAGAAAAACCCAAGGTTCCTTACTCTGATCTCTAGAGAAGTATCATCATTATCAGTACCAACACAATTATACACAGACATTTATTTGGAACAGTTCTCTGAGGTTTCAATACCAGTTAAAGCTATGCACCAAAAGAATATATGATATAAGCTGGATTAAGATCCTTATATTAGCAATCAGAAACCACCATAGTGTACTGTTATCCTCAAAAACAAACAAAAACAGCCAGCCAAATAAGTTGACTTAGTCCTCAGAATGAAATATGGAGACACAATTGCACGCACAAGGAAAAGCAGGAATGAACCTAAATATTTCACGACACATCAGGACACGAAGGTAACAATGGAAAAGCAGGCCCCACTTGCTCAAATGGCCAGCCTCCTGGCTGCTAAGGATTTGCACTAGACATTTGGATTCTGAACCAGGAGACCTGCACCTATCGTCTACTAGCTTGGATAAATTGTATCATTTCTCTGGGACTCTCTCCTCATCTATAAAATGAGATGGTTAGACTAGATGATCCTTACAATCGCCTTCTAGCTCTAAATCCTGTAAATTTCCCCTCTATATTGTCTTCTCAGGTCTAAATAATTTCAGTGACTTGAGTCTCTCTCATGCATTGCAAGGCATTCTTCATCTGAGTTTAGCCCCTGGCTAATCTCCAAATCTTTGGCGTCCCTCTTATACTATGAATCTGCAGTGCTGGTCATCATACTCTAATGAGGACATGCCCCAGGCTGAGCACAGTGAACAGACTGCCTCATAGTTTTCCTATGCTGTCCCATTTTTGTGTGTTCTAGAATTGCCTACTCTTTCAGCAAATGCTCATTCATGCACAGCTTATTATCTTTATTATTCTTAGATCTTCATGATGTACTTGTACATAGCCCATCATTTCCCACACGGTACTTGTGCAATTCATTTTTCCCCATAAAATATTACCCCTCACTTGCCCTGTAATGAACTTTGTTCCATTGCTGAATACTTCTCCCATTCACTGAAAGTATTCTAAATTCTAGTTCTTCCTTTTGCCCATCATTCTTGCTTCCCTGACACCTCCTTATCAGCCTCCACAGTTTGGTTTCAGGCCAAAGCTTTCTTACTGAATACACTTTAGTTCTATCCTACAGTGGATTTATGAAAATGTTAAACACAACCCCAGGAAAATGATTGATCCTCGTGCAGCACCATTTGATTTCCAAGGTTCTACCAGTGACAAGTATAGGAAAGAACTATGAGCTAGGGCAGCTGGGTGGTGCAGTGGATAGAATTCTGGACCTGGAGTCAGGAAGACTTGAATTCAGATCCAGCCTCTGACACTTATTAGCTGTGTGACCTTGAGCAAGTCACTAAACCCTGTTTGCCTCGATTTCTCGACCTGTAAAATAATCTGGAGAAGAAAATGACAAACCATTCTAGTATCTTTGCAAAAAAGACCCAAATGTGGTCCCCAAGAGTCAGACACAACTGAAAAAATGACTGGAAATAACTAAGACTACAAAGAACTACCAAATTAGCTGTTTTGACTGAAACGGATTACTTATTTAAATCAAATTCTTGGCCTTTAGAATCATTTTCCCACTGACTTCACTAGTTATACCAATAGATAGATCAATTTTTTGACGTTAAACAAAATTTTAGGACCAAGTGCTGAGCTGAGTCAGAACAGTTACCTGTTTTTCAGGCCCAGTTCTATCTCCCAATAGCAGGGTGAGCTTTAGAAAAGAACCTAAACACTGTGACCAAGCTTTCCTCAACTGTAAAATAAGGGAGTTAGATTAGATCAGGGATCCTTATCGATGTTTGTGTCATGGACTCCTTTGGAAGTCTGGGGAAGCCTAAGGAATCTTCCTCAGAATACTATTTCCTAATACATATGAGAAAATACATAAGATTAAAGAGGAAATTAATTATATTAAAAAGCAATTATCTAAATGTTTTTTGGTGAGGCAGTTGGGGCAAAGTGACTTGCTCAGAATCACATGGCTAGTGTTATGTGTCTGAGGCAGGATTTGAACTCAGGTCCTCCTGGCTCCAAGGCCGGTGCTTTATCCACTGTGCCACCTAGCTGCCCCATCAAATAATTTTTGAAGAAAATTTACAGACCTAAGGTTAAGAATTCCTGACTATAATTTATCATGTCTTGTCAAATTCTAATGTCACATTTTATCATATTTGATTACTAAGTAAATGAATTGATCAACAGGAAGGAAAAAAGAAGGGAGAAAAGAAGGAAGGGAGGGAGGGGAAAATAAAGAAGGGGAGGAAGGAAGGAAGAAAAAAGAAAGGAAGGAGGAGAGGGAGGAAGGAAATATTTATTAAGCAATTGCTATGTATCAGGCACTAGGCTCAGCACTTTCCAAATATTATTTAATTTTAACCCTACAACAACCCTGAGTGTTATTATTGTTCCCATTTTAAAGATAAGGAATCTGAGGGATACAGAG